TCTTGTTTAAATGGCTAAAATAATGATTTGGCAAATTGTTTTTAAATTATTACATCTCTATAAATTTTTATGGATTATCTGCCCCCAATTTTTTTTAACTTAATATTGGATTACAACAAATTACTAAAAAAAAAAAAAAAAAAAATTGAAAACCACTGAAAGTGGATACTGGATTTGTATTAGTAAAAAAATACATATGCATTAGAGAAATAAAGACACTAGCTACTAAATAAAGAACTAGCATAGCTGGAACTACGTTTTTGAATCTTAAAGACAAAGCTACTGAAGATCTTTGTTCTGATGTGGAACTCCATACAAAATATTTTTAGTAAAAATTTTTTGGATGGGAATTGAGGAGAGAGGAAAAAAAATCAGAAACAGTTATTGAAACAAAAAGAGGCCATCTTAAAAGAGACAACAGTGAATTATCCTGACGTAAGTTTTTAATTTATGCCAGGTGGGCTTATTCCTAACTCAAAATCTTTTCTCCAAAATAATTATATTAGTAGCAATAACACCAAAGCAAACTGCTGTATTGTGGCTGGCAGAATGTGTTCACGTTATTCTCGAAATTATATATACACATAACATTTATTTTTTAAGGCATGATTACAGTATTAAAAACAAATATCCCTTCACGGTGCAGTGAGTCAGAAGTTTACGTAATGATATTTCACTGGGTAGTCCGGTGAAATCAGATCCTTCCAATAACTTCTCGCCTGGTGGAAGTAAAAAATTATGCTCTCCTGGGACATTTAGTCAGATACAATTTTCAAATCCCTCATAATTTCATATTTATGTCTCACCTTAAATCCAAAAGGACTGGAAGCTGCTTATCACCTCACAGGTAGTTCCCTCTAGGTACCTACAGCACAGGACACCTTGCACTCACTAAATATGTATTACTCCCATTTTAAAGAAGAGAAAGTTAAGTCTAAAGGGGGGGTAAGATGTCTTCCAAGTCAGCACTCATTCTTTGATCCATTAATTCGAGAAATATTTATTGGCTTACTATGAGCTAGGGACAGAAGGCCCACAGATATTTTGGATGGGAACTTGAAGAGAGGAAGAAAGCATAAAGCATCTATTGGGAGAAAGAGGTGAGAAGCAGCCTTCACAGAGGATAAGAGTTCTGGTAAGGAAAGCACAGGGTGCCGTGGATACACGTAGGAAGAAGGGACCAAGGAAGGCTCTCCAGATGAGGTGATGTCTAAGCTGAGACCCAAAGGACTAAGAGTAGTTAGACACCAGAGTGGCGCGTTCCTTCAAGGTAACGACCACCACCCGAAAAGCCCCAGAGACGAATGGGCGAACGGTGTTTCAAGCAGGTGGGGCAGGGACGCCTGGGTGGCTCAGTCAGTTAGGTATCTGCCTTTGGCTCTGGTCATGATCCTGGGATGCTGGGACTGAGCCCCGCATCAGCGGGGAGCCTGCTTCTCCCTCTCCCCCTACCCCTCCCCTGGCTCATGCGCTCGCGTGTGTGCTCATTCTCTCAAATAAATAAATAAATGAAACCTTTTTAAAAAATAAATTGAATAAAGCAGGTGGAGCATTTGCGTTTGTCCAGCGTGCCCCATGCGAGATACAGCTGGCGGAAGGGGGATCAGGGGAGACCCAGCAAGCCGCCGGACAGCTGAGGCCAGTGGGCACACAACACTGCGCATCTGGAGCTGCACTTAAGTCTCTCTGGCTGCAGAGGGAACCTTCATCAGGCAAAACAGAGTTGCCTGAACAAAGATGGACAACGGGTGGACTACAAGGTATGAAATGCATGGAGGAGGGAGCGGCCTGGGGAGAAGGAAGGAAGTGTCAAGTCAGGTCGCACACCAAGCTTTTGGCGGCAGAAGCTGGGGGTTGGGGGCAAGCCCGGGTTCCCTGTCGGACAGGCTAAGAGCGCCTGTGAATTATCCAAGAAGCTGAAATACTTGATAAGTGGTTGGATTTGGGGACTGGAACGCAGGCAAGAAACCACAGCTGGAGACAGAGATTTTTGGAAGTTATCTGCACGCATATACGGGAAATGAAGTCACAAGAGTAACTGAAATTTCCCAGAGAGAGAGAGTAGACTGTTTCCAGGACAGAAACCTGATGGGTGCTCCAGCAATCGTGAGAAAACCCAGGAGGGAGAGCAGTATTCAACACTTAGAGTAGAAAATGCTTTTAGGAAGACCTGCCAATCATGTGAAATACTGTGCGGGCGGCGGCGGGTAAAAATCAAGGTAAAGACCGAAAAATGTCCAGTTGCCTTGACAATAAGGAGGTGGGTATGGTGAGCTGACACCCAAAGGTGGGCAAGGAGGAAACAGGAGTGGGAAAGTACAGCCGGCAAAGTACCTGCTTGGCCATCGGAAAGGAGGAAAGAGAAAGGGGCAGACAGCAGGAGATATGAAGTGTGGGGGTTAAATGGACCAGAGGTGACGGGAGTATTCGGATAGGAGGGAAAAAGAAAAGAACGGGAACAGACAAGGAGTCTGTAGGTGGGCTGTCTGGGAGTGCAGCGTTCCAGTCTGGTTCAGAATGGCAGAACTTGATCACTGGTTTCTGACGCACGGTCAGCCCTCTGTTCATTTCACTGGTTTATATGAAGACATTTCTTTCCCTTCCCCACCTCCCTTTAGTTCTCTCCGGAGGCCGAGTGAGCAGCATGGAAACTGAAATCTAATCTGATCTGCCTCCTTCCAAAAGACAGCATCTCAACTTCTTCAATGCTAATCCTAAAATCCTACTAAGCCCAACATTTCCTCTGGATGAACGGCTGCTTCTAACGGAAATACATGCGCTGCGCACGGCCCACTCAGGGTGGGGTTTGACGCTTCTGTCCTAGAGCAAGTAGCTCGAGCTAAGGGTTAGACTTCATCCCACCCAATCTGTCTCAGAGCTGTCCCTTCATCTTATATTCTAGATCCAGTAATTGTTGGATGTGTAAGATAAAGGTAGTTAAAAAAAAAAGAAGAAGAAAGAATTTTGAAATGTTCCAAGATGGATACAAAAATCTCAGATGTATAGGAAATGAAAGCACTGGACTACTAGATTGAGGTCTGCTCCTGTTTTAGCATTTGTAAAGTCCAGTTTAGGTGCCAAGAAAAAAAAAGCCTTTTCCTAGAATCACCACATCAGGCTTGGAAAGATAACTAAAGGTAGGGTATTCATGCAGATTAACCAAGTACTGCCCCTTAAAAACTACCCCATATTTGCAATGAACATTCTGGAATGCCGTGGCCCACTTGGAGAGCCTAAAGGTGCGATGATTACCGTAGACCATGTGCCAGCAGAGCTATATATATTCTGTTAAGTAAGTCATTTTTACGTGAGGAGACACTGAATTAAGTGTAGTCAGACCAAATAAAAACATGTCAGCCACATGAGCTGCTCAAATAAAATAGTATCAATGAGATTATGAAGTAATGCTTGAAACACTTAATTTAACAAACTTTTTTTAAAAGATTTTATTTATTCATCTGAGAGTGAGCAAGCGAGCGAGTGAGTGCGCGCTCCGTGCCCATGAGCATGAGCAGGAGAGGGGCAGGGGCAGAGGGGGAAGAAGACTCCCTACTGACTAAGGAGCCTGACCCAGGGCTGACCCCAGGACCCTGAGATCATGACCTGAGCCAAAGGCAGACGCTTAACCAAATGAGCCACCCAGAGACCCCTAATTTAATAAACTTTTCAAGGATCTAGTGTATACTAATTACAAGCCAATTCCTAGGTACTTTTTACACAGGTTCCCCAAAGAAAACGATTTGGTTTTCCTGCCTTAAGTTAAAGCAGTTAAGATGGTTTCTTTAAAAGTATGCTGGGGGCACCTGGGTGGCTCAGTCGTTAAGCGTCTGCCTTCGGCTCAGGTCATGATCCCAGGATCCCGGGATGGAAGCCAGCATCAGGCTCCCTGCCCGGCGGGAAGTCTGCTTCTCCCTCTCCCACTCCCCCTGCTCATGTTCCCTCTCTCGCTGTCTCTCTCTTTCAAATAAATAAATAAAAATCTTTTTAAAAAATAAATAAATAAAAGCATGCTGTATCTAAACCCAATGATGGATCATAGTATCACTAAGAGAAAGAAGCTGGTATTAGGTGCCTCAGGATTCGATACAAAAATAATACAACACCTATTTGTATCTAAAAATTCAACCTGATCTAATCAAACTTCTAGGAATTATGGGATAAAGAGAAGCAAATAAAACAATGTCAAAAGGAAACAATTACCCACGTCCAGAAATGTGCACAAATATCTACAGGACGTGTAACCCAATTTTTCCAACAAATCAACAGCAAGTAGAAAAATAAAATAGAGGGAGGGCTACTACAGAATAAGAGATTTAGGTTCTCCAAAAATCAAATGCAGTGCAGATTCGTTCTGGATCCTAACTGAAACAAACCAACTTTAAGACTGCCGGAACAGGGCGCCTGGGTGGCTCAGTCGTTAAGCGTCTGCCTTCAGCTCAGGTCATGATCCCAGGGTCCTGGGATCGAGTCCCACATCGGGCTCCCTGCTCAGCAAGAAGCCTGCTTCTCCCTCTCCCACTCCCCCTGCTTGTGTTCCTGTTCTCGCTGTGTCTCTCTCTGTCAAATAAATGAATAAAATCTTTAAAAAAAAAAAAAAAAAGACTGCCGGAACAATATTACAAAATTGTCTTGCTGGTTTCGTGAGGTCTAATAAAGGGTATTAAAAAAAAAATCCCTATTAGTTGGAGATGTGTACTTATTTAAAAAAGAGAAAGAGTATATATAAATATTGCAACTCAGACTTTTCAGTGACTTTGAGTTACAGAGCTTCTCCTGGATAGCTTAAGGAAGGATGAGGTATCCCTTCCTCACTACCAAACTCAGGAAAGAATCACATTAAGTTATACAGATACTCCTAACAGTTTCCCAAACATCAATTTCTTTTTCTCCTTTCTTCCTTATTTGTTAATTAGTGGCAGAGCCGAGCCAAGGACCCGAGTGTTAGAGGTCTGCCAATCCTGTGCTCTTCCTCGCACCCATGGGTGGCCTCTTGCTCTTACCTTCCCGTGCTCCTTCCTCACGTGGGAAATGTAAACATCTCTCTGTGTGAACAAGCGGTCACACTCCCAACACGTCCAGCCAGGACTGGCTACTTTCTTGGGTTCCATGGATTTTTTCACAGGTGACGGAGACTTCTTTTCCAATTTCTCTTTCCCGTTCATGGATCTCGTATCCTCTTTGTTTTGATTTGCTGAATTCTGAGTTGCAGGCTTAATGCTCAAAGGCAAGTTTATACCCAAGTTTGGAGGCCCTTCAATACTTTTCAATGTTCCATGCATAGACTATGTTACAAAAAGAGAAGAAAGATCTATCACAAATGGTTACCATGGAGAGAAGCACATGTAGACTATTCTTAACACATTACAGATATTCGAAAAGGATTTTATATTCATTCAGAAACATTTCTTAATAGAGCAAGAAGAAAATCTAAGCAAAATATATACTTAAAAAGAGACAGAGGGGAATTAACTTTTATGGTTGCTCTAAATTATGCATTTCTAGTTCCAAATAACTTCTGAAAGCTTATTTGCTTGTGCCATTTTTAAATTCTTAAAAAAAAAAAAAAAAGCCTTCTGCATGGCATCTAAATTATTCCTGGCTGTCTATCCTCCCCCAGTGAACCAGTGAGTCCTCTCTGCAACAGACTCTTTCTGGGGAAGAAGACGCTTACTTTCACACCTACCCAGAAGCATGGGACTAGGCTGATGCACGGGTAGGTGTTCAAGACCCCCAGCCAACCATCTTTCACAAGCACCTGAGACAAGAGCAAAGCCTTCTCCCTCCCTTTCATACCTTCCACATTCTTGGGACAATTTTAAGAGTTTGGGTTTTCGTTGGGGTTTTTTGGGGGGTAACGTCAATATCCCTACATCCTATCCCGATCTATCTCTTCTTACCGATACCACCCAGACTTACACAGTAGATACTCAAAAAGCCTCTTACAATTGCTCAGCTGTTTATTATCATTAACATAACAGCCACAACAGCTATCCCACTTAAACTCGAAGGATTCCAAATTCTACTGGGGTAAAATTGGTGCCATGTGATTCTAAAGATCAGTGTGCTTTGTTTTGTTTGTGTTCTAGAAGCAGAGTCAAAAAAAAAAAAAAAGGGAGCACGTAAGTCTGTGCCTCAGTGTAGAATTTATCTTTGAACAAGGCCTTCTCGTGTTGCCAGCCTTCAGGCTTGAGTCCTGAACCTACAAACCCTACAGAAAGGCACATGACACACATTTCCTCAAGGGCTCTAGGCCTCCTACATCCCACAGGTCCGCACTGAGTAGATGCCGGCTCCATGTTCCTTCCTGAATGTTTGAGTCCGAAGCGGCTCCCTCAGGGTACTCTCCATCATACCTTCCCAGGCAAGGTCACCTCTCGTCAGTGCAGAGAACTCGCCAACCCTCCTCACTGTCTTACCCGGGAAGGCAAAAGGGGGTTCAATAATTTTCTCATGAGCAGGGGTGACAAGTCTATCCAGAGGATCCTCAAACTGGTCTCTAAAAAAGGGCCTGGGGGGGGGGGGGGGGGCACCTGGGTGGCTCAGTCGTTAAGCGTCTGCCTTCGGCTCAGGTCATGATCCCAGGGTCCTGGGATCGAGCCCCACATCGGGCTCCCTGCTCTGCGGGAAGCCTGCTTCTCCCTCTCCCACTCCCCCTGCTGTGTTCCCTCTCTCGCTGTGTCTCTCTCTGTCAAATAAATAAATAAATAAAATCTTAAAAATAAAATAAAAAAGGGCCTGGGTGGAAAACGTCTCATGTTCTTGGGCACATGAAAATCTGCGGCGAGGCGAGATGTGATCTCGGGACAGCCAAAATCCAAGCACTGCCACCCCACAGGGCAGAGACTTTGGGGTTTCCAATGGCCTTTTTCAAAACAGAAGCCAAGTTTTTACCTTTTTAACCATTTAAAGCCCAAAGAAAACAAAAGCCAAAATCTTCTAGTAAACTTTTCCTAAGTTTCTAGGCAAATATGTTTTTACGAACTAAGAAGTTGAGGAGAGGCTCATGTATTGAAGTGTTCTTCTGTGAGTTGGCCTTACTGTGCCCTAAGAATTACAGGAAAGCGGCAAAAAGTTCTGCCGTGACAAGAGGACAAGGCCATGTGTGCCAAAATGGGAATTTCTACTTTACATCATTCCATTTTCACATCATGAAGTAAAAGTAATATCATTTATTAAAAGCAAAGGTTTTTTTTTTAAATAAAAGAAATACCACCTAATTCTTTTAGAAATGATTTTTCCTTAGGTCCTGTAACAACAAATAACTTGAACAATTGTAACTTGAAAGTTTGCTTTAAATGTAAATGCCAACATGCATACAGGGAATCCCACACAGTGAATAAATCTATACTCTGCAAGAAAAAATGATACGAACTGGATTAAATTAGGCAAATAAAGATCTACCTTTAAATGAATACGTACGGAGGGCAGGGAACACTGTTCCTGTCCTGCTTTTCTCTTAATTTCTTCCTCAAGAAAAACTGAACAGCACAGGTATTAAGTGATATAAATAAACTCACAAGAACTAATACAGATCTTAAAAATAAAAACAAAAATAGGATGCCCCCAAAACTTTATTCCTACCCATCCCCAAACACATAAAGGCAGGATATTTTAAATGTATAGGACATACTTGAAATGAGAATATAAGTGAGTATTCTCAATGTTTTTCGTATCATGTAGTCTCGTAAAGGTTCAGATGAATAAAAACAATTCTTTCGTCCTTGTGGCCACAGGATTTTGCCACTCCTCTTCAGTCTCTATTCTTGGAACCTTGTATTCCTCCAAATTCACTATTAACACAAGGAAGACCCTAACCACAAGGTCGATGACCCCACTTCCAGATGTAAACATGAGTTCTAGAAAGCAAATACCTTAAAAGCCTCTTAAGAAGTAACTTTTCTTTCTTTTTTCTCCCCCCTACCCCCGTAAAAACTATGTTAAAATATTTGGGTCTAATTCCAATGTCACTACATTTTTATGAGCAGTTTTTAGGGTTGTTGTTTTTTTCCTGATCATTCATTAAATAAGTATTTGTTGTCAAGACAGTTTCGTAATTTTAGTGAAAACCTTTAAAATATCTTAAGAGGATTTTACTGTGTACTTTAAGTGATAATGATGAAATGTATCTCCCATGCATTGACTCACCAGAGGAATGCCAGAGAGCCACTACCTTAGCCCGGCCGCCAGTGAGCAGACCCTCCAATGAGCAGACGTTAGGTTCTTTGCAATAGGCAGTTATGCTACGTGAGCTCACATATGCTCAACACAGGAAATTTCAAGGATTAACAGTCCATTCATTTAACTAAGATGAGACTAGACGAATTCAGAGACCTGATCTGTTCACCTTTCTTGTATCCCATATTTAAAAAGAGAAGAACTAAGAGGAAGAGAGATGGAGTTCATGATATCGGGCCGCCGTTGCCTTCTCTTTTTAAAAAGTCAAGTCACTTTAAGCTCTGAGAGCTGATGGATATTATCTCCTAATCACACAGGAATAAAATTGCTTAACCTTTCACAGTGGGCAGTTAAGAGGCTAGGACTAAGCACTGTCCTTCATGAGCTTAAAAGGCTGTAAAGAGATTTAGGTGCCCCTTTTGGGGCTTGGAGGGTGGGGGTTATCCAAACTGGACATATATTCATTTCATTAACTGAATACTTGCCAGGGGCCAGACACTGCTATATCCTACACATTTTACTGTCAATTTACATGCAACCTTGATAGAAAAAAAGACTAAAAAAAAAGATCCAGGGGCATCAATTATAATGTAAATTAACCGCTTACATAATCTCAAGGGAAAACCTTTATTTTTCTAAATACACCAATATTTACAACGAATTAACACAATTCGTCAGAGTCCCTGTCTATTTCTAAATCCTATACAACACAGACTTCTCAGAAAAAGTAAACTTCAGAGTCATCATTTTCACATGTAGGGAAAAAAAAGAACCCTAACACATTTTCTTTGAGAATCATTTGTTACTCTGCACTGATCTCTCACCGCATGCAGATTGGGACTCGGGAATAAAAAGCATCAGTCAGGGGCGCCTGGGTGGCTCAGTCGTTAAGCGTCTGCCTTCGGCTCGGGTCATGATCCCAGGGTCCTGGGATCGAGCCCCGCGTCGGGCTCCCTGCTCGTCGGGAAGCCTGCTTCTCCCTCTCCCACTCCCCCTGCTTCTGTTCCCTCTCTCGCTGTGTCTCTCTCTCTCAAATAAATAAAATCTTTAAAAAAAAAAAAAAAAAAGCATCAGTCAAGTATATGATGGCAGTATTCTGTAAATTGCTCTGTACCAACAACCAGCATCCATCCCTTCCCTCTACAGCATGCACGCTTTCTCTTCATCTGCAGCGCTGCCTTGACTTATGATCAATGAATGGGTCTGCAATTTACGTAAAGGACACAAGAGATGCGCACACACCTTGATATGGTCCATCATGAGTTGCTTCTGTGCATATAAAAGAGAACAGTCTGGACACTTGAAAACAGACACCTTCTGGTTTTCGATGTGTTGGTCAAAGTGCCGATACAGCAGGGTTTGCAGGGTAAAAACAGTGTCGCACATGGAACACTTATATATTATTCTAAAACAGAAGAAGTGCGTGGAAATGTCAGTCAGCCCTCGTCTCTGAAGCCAAAGGAACTGCTACTTTACATCTCATCTCAAGAATTCAGGTGGCAGGAGCAGCGAGAACACATAAACACGGTAAAAAGAACAAAACAGTTTAGCTTTGAAACAAACTTTTAGAGGCAACTGGCGTCACTCAAGTGCAGATCGCATTCTGAGTAAAGACGCATTCAACCACATTTGCATAGAAGTCTAAATTAATGACCATTTTACTACTTACAGATCTATAGCGGATACTTGTTTGTACAAGATCTTCACTCGTTAGTTACTTTAACACAGAGCAAAAGCACTCTTGATTTTTTTTTTTTTTTTTTACGTATTCTTTAAGAGAAGACAAGGAACGCAGCTGGGTGGTGGTCCCCTAACTTGAGAAAGCATTTGTTAACGAACTAAGTAGGGCTGTTCAGCTCCGATGCCTACGTAAGATCTTACTTGTCCCAAGTTTTCTTTTCGAGTTAGGGGCAATTTTACACTTGAATTGCAGTATTCCTCTACACGTTCTCAACACAGAAAGCCCTACACCAGTAAACAATTATACACCACCACCCCCCACCCGCCAAAAAAAAAGACAGAAAGAAAGAGAAAGAAAAAAAATCCGAACCAACTGTTGTTTCAGTTTGCACATCTATTGTGCTTAAAATGGTTTAAAATACTGTCCGTTACACTTCCATACCTGATGTTACTGCCAAGCTGCCTCCCTAAACTAATCCAATAGACCTGAGCCTTCTGCACATAATCCCATCCAACCATCAAGACCTTCCACTGAAGCTCAGGCAGGAAGGAAAGTACCAGACTCCCCAGCCACCAACCTCCACCCCCAGGGGCTTCGCTGCTCATTTAATATGCCTACAGTAGGTCCCCTTCCTCCCGTAACTGCCCCAGGTCTTCCTGGTCCTCAAGGGAAACCCTAGGGACACCTGTGCCCTTTGAAGAGCTATGAGAACAGGCACAAAGAATCCTAGGGAGCAGTTGAGGAAAATGGCAGAGAAACACTGATGGAAGGTACAAGTCAGAGATGAAAAAAGCAGAGTTGAGATTCCATTTGCTATTTGCACAGCAAAGCCAAAGAAAGGAAAGCCTCTAGAAACCACGGGTCTTTCCTCTCAGGGTCTTGAGAAAGGACATCTCGCTTCATAGTTCTCCGTCAATAAATGACAGATTTAACTTTTTTTCTCCTTTTCCCACACAGAATTTATAAATTTAACGGGATTCAGCGGCACATGTTTTTACAACGTCTTGACATATTAATAACTTAGTGCACACTTGATTGGGGAGGGGAGGGGACTTTCAAGGACTTCAGGACGTCACCACATGGGGTGCCATCATTAACTGTACCAAGTGTGACGAGGATGTTCATTTCCTCACTATTTAAAATAGCTCAGAATTGAAAATAGTCCAAACACGCAGTAACATCAAGTAGTGAAGTAAGAGCAACGATGTCATTTTTCACAAATTATGCTACAGACACATTACCAGTGAATGGAAAGATTTTCGTGGAAATTCAAACAACAGGGAACAAGACAGTATGCATGATACGTTCACATTTTTTTAAGGGTGCAGAAAAGACATGGAAGGTTACACAACTGTCATCATCTCTGCCAGATGGTACTACAGGTATTCTTACTGTTTTGCTTGTCTGTTCTTCTTGATTTTTCTGGAATTACCACAGAGCAACAAGAAAAAAATAATAGCCCCAGGAAAAGAATGAAGATTTACTAGCTAAGCTAAGAATTTTCTCAGGATTCTGTTCTTACATTTTTTTCGAAAGCACTATTTCACGAAAATGGCATGGCCCATTTTATTCATGCTACATTCCTTTGGGGAGGGGTTTTGTTTGCTTTGACTTTTTTTTTTTGCTTTCCACTGAATAGCAAAGATTTACTTAAGCATTTTTCTGAGGAACAGTTTGCTCGTATAATATTAGAACACCGCCCCACAAACTGCTAACGCATATAAAGCGGGAAGTGGTGACTATATGGCAGAAAGGTCTGGGGGACACCAGCTTGACTAGATGGTGGGGGTCAGCAGCGCTGCCAGAAGCACACATGGGCACTGCCTGTCTCTGATGGAACACAACAAGGAGCCTCCTGCCAAGAGTACATGTCCTGCGTCCAGCTACGAGAAAGCAGCGACAGACGGGGGTCATCCTGAGAATGAGGGGCTGGAAGCCTCTTCGGATGGCCAAAGACATAAGAGGCGGGGGAAGACCGAGCAACTGTTCCAGATGGAAGAACCCTGACAAGACAGGACGATTAAATGCAAAACATGTTCCTGGATAGGATTTTGAACATGAAAGAAAAAAGAAAAAAAAAAAAGACATTTTCTCAACTATTAGAGAAATTTTAATGGGATCTACACATTGAGCAGTAATGTAATCAGCACGAATTTCTGACTGGGAGGACTCAACGGGGGTGACATACATGGGTGACCTTTTTGGGAGGAGAGGCAGAACACACTCCAATATTTATGTCATGCTGCCCCATTATTCTTCAACGAGAGAGAAAGAGAGACACACACACACACGGAGAAAGAAATGGTGGGAGTAAATGTCAGGAATGCGGGCAACTGGGGAATCTGGGTGGAGGGATGTCATCTGTAGAGTTTTCCAACTTTTCTGTAGGACAGAAACTATTGAGAAACGTTAAAATGGTGCTCACGTTAAAAAACAAAGCCCAAATAAATGAACCTCACACACACGAGTTAGGACATGAGGATGGAGCAAACTGTCCAACTACAATGGAAGAAAATCACAGGAGGTAGCCAGGCGTGGTGGGGGGGTGAGGGGAAGCCAGGCAGGACAGTGGGGGGTAAGCCAGGCAGGATGGCGAGGCCTGTTTGTATGCAGGCAAACGCTTGGGCACAGCATGGTGAGGGAACAGAAAGAAACACAGTGTGGCTGGATCTGCAGGCTGTGGGAATGGCGGGGGAGGTCCTGTAGAGTTGCAAAGGGCTCTGAAAGCCAGACCTGTGTGTTTGACTGAATCCTACCCTAGTTGCAAGACTGAGGGAATGGTGGGATAACCAGACTAAGGGGCGGCGGCAGTCCCCTGGAGAGAAGGGGGGAGGTGAAGGGAAGGAGGGGGAAAAAAAAGAAAATGAAAGCTAAAACCAGGGCGTCTGGGTGGCTCAGTCGGTTGAGTGACTCTTGATCTCAGCTCAGGTCTTGATCTCAAGAGTTCAAGCCCCATGTTGGGCTCCATGCTGGGCCTAACTTAATAAAAACCTTAATATAAAAACCTACTTAATAAAAGAAAGGAAGGAAGGGAAGGAAGGAAGGACGGGGAAAAAAGAAAGCTAAAACCAAATACCCACACTCAGGTCCAACTTACAGCAACCCAAACTCTCTAGAACAGTGTGTAACCCTCTAAACAAATGTAAAAACAAATGGAACCAAAGATTCTAAGCTCAGAAGTCACTGCCACAAACCTCCTCCTTCATTACCACTGACCGAATCCAACTAAGTGCAAAGCACTGTCCTGAGCAACAAACAATCCCCACGCCTCCAACAGGTGAGCCATGTCACGGACAGGCTCAGGGAGGAGAGAATTTGCTGGATGTTGCACAGATCCCAGGGCCATGGTTCAAATTCAGCCTCATCTGACTCCAAAGCCTTCCACCATGCCGCTGTTACAATTTAGTACATGCTTGACTTCTTAGGGACTGATTCAGAAACGCTCTGTCTCTTACATAATTCTAGACTTTGGAGGTCTCGCTTCTCCACTTACATACATTTAGAGTGGCAAATAAAAGGAAGGCACAAAATAGCAAAAAACCTACTGTTCATTAGACGTCAAGGAAAAGACGAAAACAGACACAAAACTCTATCACCATGAAATCTAGGAATGGACATTCAAAATGAATCTGGAATCTCCCAGAAAAGATTAAAGGGTCTTCACAATTTTCTCGGAAGACAGAAGGGTAACAACCTGACCACACACTGAAAAGCAAGAAACACAGCACTGGAACAGTGCCTGGCACATAAGAAACACTACATAAATGTTAAATAAAAATCTTAAAAAAATACAGAAGTGAAATCTTGCACTGTGCGCTTTTCAATTTGAGGTGCTGGGACGACAGGACGTTATGGGGCTATATTTTTAGACCCCATGTAGTCTCTAAAGAAAATGGGGGAGGGTTATTTTTATATTGATCTTTAAAAAAATTAATGCACACCATTTGCATAATGTTCAGTCATTTGCATAACCACCTGTGAACTAAATCCTGCTAGGACATTTCAATACCTGAGTCTCCAGTGTAGTCGGGGCTATTGATTTTGGGGGGCTTACATAAACAGAGCAGAGATGGATTTAATGTCAAAAGGAAGCTTCTGAATCAAGTGTAGGCCAGGTAGCATTCCAGCAGGCACAGCAAGGCTTTACAGGAGCCTGAATGGGGAAAGGTGGCAGGGACGAAGGATCTCAAGGCCCGCTGTAATACAGTCGTGACACATGGAGCCCGACGTGCAGCCCCTGGGGTCCCAGCCAGGCTGCAGGTGAGGACTCGCCTCGGCCAAGCACCACCACCCACTCACTATATGAATGCAGCTGAGTTAAAGTTCACTGGTTTGGCAATTTTGTTATATTTCACCTATATTTTTTTTTCTTTTAGTTTTACAATTTAAAACATACTAGTCGATGCCTATCTTTAGAGTTGGTACTTATTAAAGAACAACTGTAGCAAAAATAATTTTAGGAAAATACTGGAATAATTTTTTCCTATGCATTACTCAATCTGGAAAATTACTGTTTTAGCTTATCTTAATCAGGTGCTGCCCTGTATTCCTAGGTAACAACTGCTATTCCAGATGTCAGTAATGTTTTATTTATTTATTTGAATAAAGAACCAAATTAAAAACTGTATTAACTGGGGGCAAGACACTGCCTTAGTGCCTAGAAGCTTTACAACCATGAACAGTGAAGACCTCAGAGTTCACTGAAGTGCATCTTCATGGTCAAGATACCAGGTTATATCTGCAGTTTGTTTCATTTCGAGGATCCACAGAGATCAGAGTGAAGGTCTTCCTAGAACAGAATTCCAAACTTTATCCTCATTTTTTAGTAAACACTCCTATAGTGTTCCGTCATTAATATTTTCCCAAACTCAATGTTACCATAAAAGCCAGACACACATTGGCATATCTGCACATCTTCCCTCTACTTCCTTGATTATGGAGTTATGGGCAAAGCACACCAATAGCTTCGAGCAGCAAATCTAACCTCACGCAACAATCAAATTCCACGTTGCCATAAATAACACGGGAATGAAATGAGCTTCACCAAGAGCATCTAATCCAGTGCTGTGTTCGCAACAAAGAGGAAATGTGGAAAGGACCAAAGCCACCGAGCCCCTCTGTGCTCCAGAGAGAGGGACTACTGTGTGCCCCACATTTTAAATGTCACCTTTCAGCCTCACACAAACTCTGGGCCATAAGCACTACCCTCACTTTATGGGAGAGAAAAATGGATGTTGAAACAGAGCATGTGATGGCCCCAGACCTCACAGCTGGGGGCTGGGGGCTGGGTGGTAGGACTCGGAATCCAAAGCCCACACTCCCTCGTCTTGGCTAACTGCCTGTGACGCAGGCAGGCAGCCCAGGTCTGCTCAAGTACCACTTCGTCATTAAAGACTCAACAAAGCCAAAACTGACAAAACTAGGAGCAAGATTAAGACAAAAATGAAATCTGCTTTTGCTCATCAAGCACTTACACTGGTTATGAAGTTAAATTCAGTATCCAGTGTTTTAAACTGACTTCGTATCATGTTATGATAAAAAGTGTATCCTATAAGAAACCATGTTAGAAAAAAAGGAAAGATGACAGTATGTTACAGTTCCCCTCAAACTTGTTAAAATCATCCTAAGAAAAAGAACAAAACTGATAAATATTCACTTGCTTCGTGGAAACTGAAGGGCATAAATGATAAGTGACATTTTCGGCCGGAGGCTTCCCCGGGAAAGAGCGGACGGGTTTAGGGAGTGAGGAGCTACCAGCTGTCCCTCCTGGAGCGGTGACATCTTCCTGGTGGCATCGTTCTCACATTGTTCTCTAGCCCACAGAACTAGGCCCTCCTCTCAATCACTGAGAAGGCGGTGGCATGAAGGTCAGAAGGCGGCAGGACTTACTTTGGTTCTCCTATCTTGACGCCGGGATGCTGAGTGTAGGCATGGGAATGTGTGCTTGGGGCAGACTTAAACGCCATGGGACAAATAGGACACTTGTAGAAGACTTCACAGTGAGAGCCCTGGATGTGAGACTTCAGAGCAGCCACGTCAGAGTACACGACATTGCAATGGACACACCTGCCAGGAAAACAAACACGCGGTCGTCAGCACGGGACCATCACGCACGAGCACTTTCACTGTCAAAGTCAGGTAAAATGAGCATCTTGTAATGGCCTCCTGAGGCTTCTCAGGGCTTTTAGGAAGTAGGTCTTGCTTTGTTTTGTTTTCTATTTATAACAGATCGAATTATTTTTATATATTTAAGAAGGAAGATCATGAAGAAGAAAAACGAAACTCAAATGGTCTATGACTTGGGCATCTTTGAAACTGCTGGAAGTAAATATCCAGACTCCAGCGTGTGGGGAGACCAGTGGATTGTGGGGACGGTATCAAGGCCGGGGAACACGGCAAGACCCTAGGACTTGTGACTCTGGAGAACACTCCCACATGCTGGATTCGGACCCTAGGCCCTGAGGTTCCTAGCCACCCCGTATGCCCAAATGGCATTGCCAATGGAAGAAATCTTCACCGCCTCAACCTACATGCCATCAACAAAGGGGCAGAGAGGACAAATCAGGACAGGCTTCGAAGCCATGGCCACGGTCTCCTGGGACACACTGATGCTGGTCAATGGCTCTGGAGTTAAGGGGGCCTGTTGGGTAGAGAAGGTTAACCACCTAGACTGCTTGTCTCCTGGAAAATAAGTTCAGGTACACTTACATTTGTTTTAAGAAATAACATCAATTAAAAACTTCTGAAAAATCAACATAGCTAAATAGTCGTTCTGGTTAACTTTACTTTTTGAATGTGTGATAATGTGATTAGCCCGTGAACTGATCATATCTAGTCCTTTGGAAACAAGCTGATGCTTAGGTATGTTTCTCCCCAAGCTCTTCTTTCTCATGCAGGGACTCTCAGCACACTGATTACATATCCACTTGATGACCTCGTCGTCCTGTGTTCACACCTGAGAACTACTGAGGGTGGGCTCTGGAGACGCTGAGAGTCTGTGGAGGTAAGCCTGTAACACACCTGAGCAGACACGTTCCTGGATGTGAAGGTGGGGGCTGACGTGGGGAAGAGGGACTGAAGACAGCAGGCAGTGCTCCATTACTTCTGCATGAATTTAAGGTACTTTCATTCCTAGAACCTCCCCTCCAAATTCATGGAGATGCTTCCAAAGTCACACAGGAGTGGCATTCTCTGAAGTATATGGGTTCTATAAAGCATGCCGCGTTAAGCTTTGCAAGCATTCCATAAAAATCGTAATTCGTGTGTTAGCATTTTTTAAATGACTTAAGGCATAATGTTCAACAGCATATACATTAAAAACACTAAATCATAATAGGAGAATAATTAAGGAAAGCTCCTCTATCTTATCTACTTGAACTATTATGCCACCCAAGCACATTGAAATTATTTTGGGTTAACCTGAACTTGTGTTGTCTTAAACAGGTTACTGATCCTCTCTGGGCCTGTTTCTTGTGTGTAAAAAGAGAAGAGTCGAACTCAGTCACTTTTTAGTTCTTCCCAACCCTACAAGCCTGATTCCTACGTAAGAGGAGGATCCCATCAAACAAAAATGGATCACTAATGAAACAGAAGGGTCCTCCCACAGCGGCACCATAAACAGAACAATTTCCTCAAGGGCAGAAAGGTGATGTTCAAAGGGCAAAGACCCAAGAAGGGCAAAAAGAAACAAAGAACTAATTCTCTGAAGTCGCCTAGACTGGGAGGGAGATTTAATCTTAAGGAAAATAAACCGGAAGTTAAAGGCATCTAGACAACATTTGAAGGAGGAGGCCCAAAGAGCACCACAGAGACCACGGGAAAACCCTCCTTAACGTGAGGAAAGAAAGCAGAGAATTTAAAAACCAGTTACGAAAAGAGAGAGTTTTGTAAAATATCGGCCCACAGGTGGAAGAAAAGTTTCCGGGGCACAGAGGCCGACAGGAGATGGAAAGATGACAGACAAAGAGAAGACAGAATTTGAAGGGTTCATACAGTATCTTCATGCTACTAAAATCTTGTCTATTAAAAAATATTTCATGTACCTGAGGCCCTTTGTGTTCTGGGTACCAATCAAGTTTCTCTTCACGTTTAAAAAAAAAAAATTTTTTTTTAATGTTTATAATATACAATCCTATAGACCCCCTTTCAAAATGCAGATCCAATGGATCAAAAAGTAGGAAAATTCATGGAAACCTAGGACTTTTACCAAATCGACCAGGAGCTAGGAGTGACCCCCTCACTATCTAGGAGATGCGATATGATCAAGAAGAGAAAAAACAAGACACACGGAGTCACGAAGAGACAAGTGCGGCATGGGAGCTCTGTTAAGAGAGCCTTCTCTGACCAAAGAAAAAAAGTGAAAATGATTGCGTATAGAGTATTTCTCTGTGTGTAGAGCGAGGAGAAATAACAAGGCCAAGGGGCTGCTAAGTCCCTGCCAAATATCAGGCAGGACCATTACTTAAAGCAGCAGGAAAAAAAATTAAGGTCAAATATTTTTTCTCCCACCTAAAGAGGTCAACATGAACTACGCAGAATACACACACAGAAGCATTTGTACAGCTCTTCTAAGCCTCGAGTCCAAGAAAAAAATATACTAAACACAAACATTTTTTAAATTCCAAGTGCCAAATTTAAGTAACTCTCTGAATGGGGGGGAAGAAAAGAAAAGCAAGGGATAGGCTTTCCCAACTGAGTTGATTACTTTTAGCCTGAGTGCAGAGCTTGTTTTAATTTAGGAAAGACACCAGGAATAGTGAGAATTGCAGAAGTCCTACTTCCTTTATTCATTCCAGCCTAAGTTTACTTTCATTATACTCAAAAAATAAACATTTGAGGGAAGTTTGGCATCTGTTAAAAGAGTTGCAGAGAAAAGGGTGCAGAACTGCTTTTCACTATTAAACAAAGAACCCAGTAATGATAGTTTCAAAACATGGGGTAAGAACCAAGGTATCGCTGCGTATGGGTTTTGCGGAATCAAGGGCACCTTCAATGCGTACCTTTCCTCAGCACTTAGAGCATGCATTTCCATCATCTGTAACGTGGAGAAGGAGCGGCACCACATCGATGATGTTATAGACAGGGGCACCATGGTACAGAAAGAATATGTAAACTACCACCAAGTGGCAAAACAGCCACAAAAAAAACTCTAGTTCCTTAATTTCCAAACCAAACGTTTCCTACTAGGGTAGATCCCAATGCATTAAGCATTTGTGCGTCCCTGGCTTGGAGGCATTTGATAAAAATGGGAACGAAGTCTCTCTTAGGGTTAGAGAAACGGACAGAGCCATTGATGATGCCGTAACCTAAATGTAACTGAAATAAAACCATCAAATTATACCAACCAGACTTCACTTTTATAAAATATCATGACTGTGTAACTAGAAGAAAGCACCGTGTATTAACAGTCTAACATTAAAGTTACAGGCAACCAAACACTTAATTTTCAGATAAACACACAGTACAGTAATACCTCTATTAACAAAGACACTGTGTAGCAACGGCAGGTTTTCTTGGCTGACCTTCATTGGGTCAAAATATAAAAGGCACAGGAATGCATTTCAGAAGGTCACAACATGGAAGGTGAAGCTCAAGTACATCATCACTCCATGCCCTCTAAATGAACATTAGATAGCCAGATGTTGTAAAAGACTTTATCTGAGATTCTCAGGGGACAGTGAAAGGGGCCATAGCTAAGGGAAACGCCCGGACTTGGGTAATGGGGAAGAAGGGACAGAGGAAGGTTTACCTTGGGTAGAAGGTTCTTCCACAAAGAGCAATGATGTTAGGAAAGGGCCAACACCCAATCCTTCGATGGGATGAAATAAAAGTAAGGGACCATGCACCCTGTGTTTTGATCAGAGGAGACGTATTAAGAGGTACAGAAATGCATGGTGTTCTTACAGGGGTTAAAACGCAGAGAGCGTGACAACAGAAGGATGCTGGAAAGGGTGAAGAAAAAGCTCTAACAGTTCATCAAAGCTGAATGCTGCCACATGCACAGTTTTGCAGGCGGATGGGCTCCGTCTACCCTCAGCTCTGTGGGGACCAGAGGGCCAATACCACAAGGACTCAAACAGATCAACTCTACCACACATGAACTAGGTTCCCAGAGGATCTGTTAATTGAGGTATCACTGTACGACCCTGAAAACGGTGTGCAGAGACCCCTCGAAATTCGAGACGCTGTGCGGTTACAAGTGAACAGGCTTTACTTGCACGTAAGTGAACAATATACTGACCGAAAACCAACTCTCCGTGTGTAGTGCAGACAGTTCTTGGTGACGTGGCTCTGGAAGTGCACCGACCTGCAGATGGCCCCACACTCGGGGCAGGTGTAGGGAGATTTGTGCTGATGGATTCTCTGGTGTGATGCATAACTGCACTGGTTAGGAAGCAGCATCTGGCAGATAGTGCAAGTCTTCTAGATAAACCAAAGGGGGAAACAGGGTTGGTCCTACGAAGTATTTTCTAATATGCAAAGAAGCGTGGTTAAAACCCCAAAATAACTGCACATCGCTCATTTCAAATACTGCTATCATGGATTCTAAGCCCAAGGAAAAAGCAAAACTTGAAAGTTAAACGTTTAATGTAATTCCTCTTACTCTGGAAAATAAAAATAACAGGTACTACTATGTAGTCCGGGTCACCCCAAAGCATGAGGTAAAGAGAATTAATTATCAGCTTCAGGTAGACTTCCAATTTTGTTACATTTGCATTTTGTTCAGTGCAGAGAAGAGGTATTAGGAAAGGTAATCTTGCAAATTATATTAGCAAGTCAGCTTTCATGTATAATTACAAGTTTACAAGCATCTATCTCAAGAGTAGCCAGTTCTCACAACCCATAAAAAACTTTCTTCAGAATAATAAAAATTAATTAGAGACTAATCCAGTTTGTTTGTTTCTTTCTTCCCCTTTCTTTTCCCAGTCACTTCATTTACCTGAAATCTAAAATCTAAAATACAGGAATGCAAAAGAATGACCACAGCACTTAGTTGTTGTTCTTCTACTTGAGTTGGTCCCTCAATGGATGAGCTGGACATTATAGGATTTATAATAAAACCAATGAACTCAAATTCAGATACATAAATTTCAGTATTAAACTGAAACTTTATAAAGCTTAAAATCTAGTCCCATATAAAATAAAGACAGAAATGCTCTTTGGAAAAGGCCCTACATTTAACTAATCAGGAAAAACTGAAACACACTAAAAGTGAAACATACTATTTTTCATCCCCTTAGATGTAAGCAGTAAACATGGCATATTCTTAAAACACAAGAACAGAAAACTTAAGGTAAATATAAAGCTAGGACTTACTGCATCCACCCCCAAAATAAACCTAACACAGCACAAGATAAAATATATTCAAATTCTAGTTAGACAGTAATGTAACAAGTATCTACTACCTTCTAAAATGTCTAATTTGTACTAAAGTCAGTTAAAGAAATCCTCAAAATACAGACTCTAGCTAAGATTTAAAATGACGTTTTATACTGATGACAGAGTTATAAAATTTTTTAAAGATTTTTTTCTTTTAACCTTTGAATCAAGCCCCCAAAATTAAGGTTTTAAATTTTTGAGCAACTGAAACTATCGAAAACCAGAAATTTGCCTGAAAAATCTGTCCAGTTTTCCTCCTGAAAGGACTAAATACAAATGTTATCCCACAAAATGTTTATTATAATCACAAAATAAGAACATTACAGGCAGCTTTGATGAGGCCAGCGTCATTTTAAAAAAAGCATTCCTTTTCTAACAACACATACAGCCAAGGTTAAAACAAGCCACAACAAGGAAAAGCCATCTGCACCTTCATGCATTAGAAGATCCTGTTGATGTCTACACTCTCACAGGTAATCACTGGTTCCTTTGAACTCAGGTCTTCTATTTGCTCTTGCCACATGGTCATTAATCCCAGGCAGTGAATCATACGTCTGCGTTTCCACACACACCTTAGATATGGACCCCATTCCACTACAGGCCAAGTGATGAAGTACTTTAGATACATGCAAATACAACACCCCATTCGATTCTCAAAATGATCTAGGACATAGGTAAGTGAGATCACTGGGAAGCTATGTATATTTTTGGACCTGAGAGCTCACTACTTAATCTATTAGAACTGCCTGACCATTATGTTCGGACCTGAGTGGACACCATCTCTACAGCTTCTCTTTTATCTAAAGCAACATGACTACACTAGTTTATAATAGGGAAAAACAGCAACACAAATAAAAGAAATTCTTCAAAAAAAAAGCTAAAAATAACTTCCACATTATCTCTTGTCAAGATCTATCAACAAATATCCTTCATGATGCATACAAAATTCACAATGAATCATTTAATCTTCCTTGTTGGACATTTATTTATTTATAATACATATATAAACAGTCATGGAAATACTGGCGAAGAAGTTTTGTTGCCAGCAGCTTAACTAAGTATCGAAATGATACAAGAAGAGATTTTATGAACTACTGAGTGTTCCTTAGGGCAGGATTCTCTAACTGCAAAGACTACGAAAACCGTGTTAGAGTAACAGATACCAACGACAAATACCAACCTTGCTCATACCCATTTCCTGGAGAGGGGAAGCGGTCCCTTCGTGACACACGGTGTGGCGGGGCAGTCCGGCCCGTGGGGCTCTGTGAGGGCTGCCGGAGGCCATCCCACGCCCGCCTCCCGCCCCGGCCACTGACTAGCTCCATGTATTTGCACTCACCCATTTCCCCTTGGCTGAGGCTCCTCACCCACTTCAGACACAGAAGTTCAAGGAGGAAGTGGGGGCCAGTAGGCACCACCACCCCAAATTAAAATGCGGCCACAGTCTGCAATTACTGAAATGGGAGAATTCAGTCACTGGGGAATCACACTGGATAACGGTCTTATCTCTATACTCATGCACAGACACTGTATTTGCTCCCACATTTCTCTCTGGGTACCTGCTGCCACTCCTTCCCTCCATTCCATTTTGAGGAAAAGCATGGTATTTTGGTTGTGGACATTCTCCTCCTTGATGCTTGTGTTATCAACCGTTTTACACTCACATGAGGAGTGCCTGGCTGTACTCCCTGGACTTCCTGCTGGTTTTACTCTACCTGTTTTCGATAACGCGGTGCTACCCCTGCATCCCTAGACGACGGCACAGCATCTTCATAGCACTAATGAGAATATCCCATTAGCTTGTCCGGGATCCTTTGACTTCGTGGCAATGACAGCTGTTCTCTGGATCTGGGGGATATAGTAGCGCGGGGACAGGCCGGAATTTCTTTGCGGTTTACAAGAATCTGACTTTCCTTCCCTTTTTTTAAAATCAAAGGAACTAAAATATATCCGAAAACTCTAATTCTCTACAAGTTGAGGCTATTTACAAGATGGGTAACGCAGTTTAATGTGACAGTACTTAACTGTTTGAATAGAGAAAAGTATACAGTAGGCCCTTGAACAACATGGTTTGAACTGCGCGGGTCCTCTTACATGGGGATTTTTTACAGTACAGTACTGTAATGTAATTTCTCTTCCTTGTGATTTTCTTAACATTTTCTTTTCTCTAGCTTACCTTATCATAAGGATACGGTATATAATACACATAACATACAAAATATGTGTTCATCAACTGTACATGTTATCAGTAAGGCTTCCAGTCAACAGTAGGTTAGTAGTTGGGGAGGTGGGCAGGGGCTGGGCTAAATAGGGGATGGGGGTTAAGGAGTATACTTGTTGTGAAGAGCACTGGGTGTTATATGTAAGTGATAAATCACTAAATTTTACTCTTGAAACCAACATTACATTACTAGGTTAACTAACTAGAATTTAAATAAAAACTTTAAAATAACCCAGTAGGCTATTAGTAGTTAAGTTTTGGGGGAGTAAAAAGTTATACGTGGATTTTCGACTACATGAGGAGCACTGCCCCTAAGCCCCACATTGTTCAAGGGTTAACCCATAATAAAACGCACTAAGTGGTTTCATGTGTCTTCTGACATTTTACTTATATTAAAGTATTTTCAGTACTTTGTTAATAAATGGCTAATTCCTACGCTGGGGCAGACTCATTTGCTCAGAGAACTGCTACTTTTTAAAGTAAGATATTACCTTTCCATAGTCAAGTAACACGAGAAAGCTACAGGAAGATAAAGCTGAGAAGAAAATCACATTCCATACGTGATAAGTACTCAAACGGTGCCTTTTCTGCAGCTGGCACGTGGATGCAGGCTGGGAGGAAGGGGAAGGGGGCACATCACAGCCCTATTGAGGACTCAGGATGCTAGGGCTTGGCATCCTCCTCGCATGCCACAGGAATTATCTGGGTAACGAGGAAAGTAATTCTTTGTGTTTCAATTCATGTTTTAAGGAGAAAAACTGCCTGGGAAGGGTGGAAAAAAGCTAGAGAAACAGGAGTAAATACACCATGTACTGTGCTTACATTTCAGACACCAAAGCGGGCAGAAGCCTGAAACAGTGGGTCTGAAGGTCAAAACACTGTGTGTTAATAGCCCCCCCGTGCTACATAAACGGGTTTCTGTCCCATTGACAGCAGTTTTGTAGTTTTCTGGCTACGGCAAAATTACCCCCAAAATAGTATCAGTAATAATAAAGCACACCAGTCTGCTTTCTGGCTCTCACTTTCATCCTATTTCATGATGAAAACACAGACAGAGCATGTCATTTCAGATCTCACTCAGACTGGAAATAACACAAAGCAAGATTTATAACAGAAATGACTCTTTCTCCTTTTGTTTCCAAACTGGTGGGTTGTGGTGGTTTTGTCCTCAAATCATTCTGCTCCACTAAAAATTTCTAATAAGAGTTGACAGTTGAAAGAGCAAATTTGCAGAAAGCGGTATGGTCAGCACATATAATCTACTCAGATGATAATCACGGGAGAAAAGGTTGATAACGCTAAAGTGCAAACTGGGACAGGACTAGTCCGACCGGAATTTAAATTAAGCACTTAGAAGAAGAGCAGGACCAAGAAAGAGTTGTGAGTCTACGACTAGTAATATTTTGGGTGGGCGAGGGCATGGAGGTGGGCTCCACGGTTTCCCGAAGCAGCTGCCTGGGCACAGTATGTCTAGAAATGAGGGCTGACTGGGGCTGCTCAAGATAATTTAATCTACGTGGTGTGTTGTGTTAATGATGCTCAGAAACTAAACTGAATCAGCAATCCCTGAAAATGAGGATCACTGCAGAAAAGTCACCTCTAGCTGCACTCTTGGAGCCGATCTGGCTAGAACCCAAGATTCCATTCTCTTATAATTCTTATGGCGCCTGCCACCATCAAATGCTTCTCTATCCTAGGTTGTTGGCGTGACAAAGCGGAAAGAATAATGAACCGGCTATAAAGAAACCTTGCTTCAAGTCCCCATTGTGCCACTCACTGGGCATTTGTTTCTCCAGCTGTAAAACAAAAGGGTTGACCAGAG